ACAGATTTCTGCTGCAGCTCTTTATCTACAAGGCCCCCAGGAAGCAAAGTCCATGGTTTGTGCAGACAGAAATGAGGCATCTTCTCATTAAAGAACTGGGTCGTAACCCTGCAAAAGCATCTGCACATTCCAGCTTCCTAAAAAAACCATCCTAGAAATCCAAGCCATATTTCACTGGGGTTTTATAGTGGTTTATCAAGTCCAGGTCACTAGAACTGGCAAGAATGCAAAGCACATAAATATGAATTATTTTTCTGGGTTGCTGTGTGGCTTCTCACACAAAAACTGACCCCAGGGGCTCAGTCTCACTCGCTCAATGTTTGAGGCAAGGAGAAAAGTCATAAAACAAGAAATGCAGAGGTGTTTAGAGGAAATATCAGGGACCTGAGACAGCTTTTGAGATCGGAGTTGAAATCCACTCTTTTCCTTCACTGCTGTTAAACTGCACTGGAATCCTGGGGGTACTTTTGTGTGCCACAATATAAAAAAGATAAAAAGCTGATAGCATCCAAAGAAGGGACAGGGAGATGGGGAAGGGTATGGAAGGACCACGAAGGAACTGCTGAGGGCACTGGGATTGTTCTGCTGGAGAAGAGGAGCCTGAAGTCAGAGTTCATTGAGGGCTGCAGCTCCAATCTCTGCTCTGGGACAGGGACAGGAGCCAGGGAAGGGCTGGAGCTGGGCCAGGGCAGGTCAGGGTGGATTTTGGGAAAGGTTCTTGCCCAGAGGGTGCTGGCACTGCCCAGGCTCCCCAAGGAATGAACGGGACACTGCTCCTAGGGAAGCCCAGGGTGGGATTTTGGGGCTGAGCTGGGCTAGATGATCCCTTCCAGCTCAGAATATTCCAGGATTGTCTCAGTCCTGAACACAGGAGAGTCTGCTCTCACACAGAGCTGCAAACACACTGTGCAGGAGGCAGCAAGTGCCAAAAATCGACTTTGAGACACTAATAAATCCAAGATATTAATAATGCCAAAAGAGAAATTTTCCCTTTTGCTCCTGACTTGCCCCAGTTCAGCCACTGAGTAACTCCAGGGTGACACAGGGACTGTCCCACACCTCCAGGCCGGGAGTTTAATCACGTTTTCCTCACTGGAGGAGCCATGAAGCACCAATCAGGTGCAGCACAAGCTCTCCTGCAAAGCACTTCACTAGACCCTGTTTTGCAATAACCCCCCAGGCTGCAAATCCCCATGTGCCAGGGACCTGAGAGAAGAATTCAGTACTTTTAAAGGAACGCCAGGAGCTAGAAACACACCTGAGAGATCAGCAGCTGGAAAGGAGCCCAGGTGACAAATAAACACTGAGAGCAGAGCACAACCAGCTCAGGGACACTGAGGCAGGGCCTGCTCAGTGCCACAGGGGCAGGGGGGCCTGGCTGCCACCGCTGGAAACACGGGGGTGTTTAAAAGCACTAATATTCCTGAGAAAACGATCAGACTAGGCTGTAGTAAGGGGAGAGATGAGCTGGGGGCACAGCAGGCCCCACACCCGCCCCTTTTCAGGCTCCTTTTCCATCGTGCAGCACCTGCCCGGGCTGTGAGTGAGGTTTGGGCACTCAGCTCTGCCCCAAAATTCACTGGAACGCTTGCTCGTGTCCAGAGGAGAGCCACAGGCACAGCGCTGAACGCAGCGATGCTGGGCTACACACCTCAACGCTTCCTCGCTTTGTTTCGGTCATCGGAAAAGGGAAAAAACGGGGAAAAGTCAGCGCGGAGCGCAGGAACGCTGAGCGACCGCTCTTCTCCGGAGCCCAGCGCCATCCCACCGGGAGGCGGCTTTACACAACAGCCCCCGCCGGCTCCGGTGTCCCGGCTTGTCCCGGCTCCGGTGTCCCGGCTTGTCCCGGCTCTGCCCCCCGAGCTCCGGCAGCCGCTGCCCAGGCCGCTTCCCGAGCGGCACCGGCCGGGCCCGGAGCGGCCGCGGAGAGGGGAAGGAACAAAGCCCTGACGTCAATTACCGGAACGGGATTCAACCATCACCGGGGCGGGCCCGGCGGCCCCGAGCGCCGGTACCGGGAATGCCCCGGCCGCGCCTCCCGGGAGGGACCCCCGCCCTCCGCACGGCATCACCGCGGGCAAACCCGCGCTCCCCGGCGGGAGAAGCGCCCGCAGCGGCCGGGCCCGCCCCGGGCCCGCCGGTTCCGCCGCGGGGCCCGGCCGGGATGTCCCGGGGGCGCCCGGGGCGGCCCCGCTGCCGGCGGGAGGCCCGGCCCGGCCGCGCTCACCTGCGCTGGCCGCTCCGCTAGGCCCGGACCATCTCCCGGCTGCCGCCGCCGGCGAACGATGAGGCCCGAGGAGCCGCCGGCGAGTCACGGAGCGCCGGGGGGCGCGGGGCGGGCCCGGCCCGTGGGGGGGAAGGGAGGGGGGCGGCTCACAAGCGGGCGGCCGCTCCGTGGGGGTCCCGGCGGTCCATGGCGGGCCGGCGGCGGGCTGGCGGCTGGCAGGGCTGGCCGGGGCTGCGCTGGGCCCGGTCCCGGTGCCGATCCCGATCCCGGCCCGGTCCCGCCTGGCGCTTCCCGGCGGCCCCCGCGCGCCGCCGCCGCCCCGATCACGTGACGCGGGATGAGGGGGGGGGGGAACCCCCACGTGACCCCGCCCCGGCGGAGCGCGCCCGCGCGCGCGCAGGGGGCGTGGCGAGGGCCCGGCCCCGCCTCCCCGCGCGCGGCGGCGGGAGAGTCACGTGGGGCGGCGCGCGGGGAGCGCCCCCGCGGCCGAGGCGCCCCCTGGCGGCGGCGGCTGGAATGGGAGGGACCGGGAGGGACCGGGACAGCCCGGGACAGACCGGGAGAGCTCGGGACAGCCCGAGACAGCCCGGGAGAGCTCGGGACAGCCCGGGACAGCCCGAGACAGCCCGGGAGAGCTCGGGACAGCCCGGGAGAGCTCGGGACAGCCCGAGACAGCCCGGGACAGCCCGGGACAGCCCGGGACAGCCCGGGACAGCTCGGGAGAGCCCGGGAGAGCCCGAGAGAGCCCGGGAGAGCTCGGGACAGCCCGGGAGAGCTCGGGAGAGCTCGGGACAGCCCGGGAGAGCTCGGGACAGCCCGGGACAGCCCGGGAGAGCCCGGGAGAGCCCGGGACAGCCCGGGACAGCCCGAGACAGCCCGGGAGAGCTCGGGAGAGCCCGGGACAGCCCGAGACAGCTCGGGACAGCCCGGGAGAGCCCGAGACAGCCCGGGAGAGCCCGAGACAGCCCGGGACAGCCCGAGACAGCCCGGGAGAGCCCGGGACAGCCCGGGACAGCCCGGGAGAGCTCGGGACAGCCCGGGAGAGCTCGGGACAGCCCGAGACAGCCCGGGAGAACTCGGGACAGCCCGGGACAGCCCGGGAGAGCTTGGGACAGCCCAGGACAGCCCGGGAGAGCTTGGGACAGCCCGGGAGAGCTCGGGACAGCCCGAGACAGCCCGGGACAGCTCGGGAGAGCTCGGGACAGCCCGGGACAGCCCGAGACAGCCCGGGAGAGCTCGGGACAGCTCGGGACAGCCCGGGAGAGCTCGGGACAGCCCGGGACAGGAGAAGCTCCGGGGTGACCCAACCGTGCCCTCCCAGTGCAGATGGAGAGGGGAGGATTCCAGGGCCCGGAGGCGCAGACCCGGGGAACGGCGGGATGCCGGGCAGGAATCGTTCCCGGCAGGGTGGGCAGGCCTGGCAGAGCCCACCCCGAGACCCCGCGGCTGCTCCAGCCCCGGCAGTGCCCAGGCCAGGCTGGACGGGGCTGGGAGCACCCGGGACAGTGGGAGGTGTCCCTGCCACGGCACGGGTGAGCCACGGAATTAATTGGGATTTAAGGTCCATTTCAGGTCCATCCCAAGCCTGGTTCCCTGGGATTCTCCGCTGTCGTGGGGCCAAGGTTTGCAGCCCGGTGAACAAAGGAGGCTGTGCAGCCCCAGCTCCGACAGGAGCCATTGTCCCGGGGGCTGCTCAGGGCACCGTGGGACAAACAGAATCTCACAAGGCAAATCCATTGGCTGGGGAAGCTCCGGTTTTTGAAGAACTCCTCCCCAGGCAAACAAAGCAAACCCTGAGGCACAGACTGAGCCGTGCCCTCCCACCGGGCACCCAGAGCGCAGCAGGTCGGGCTAATCCAGCCCTGCACGCAGCAGTGGGGCTCTGTCCCCCTGTCCTGCTCTCCCTCCCTTTCTCCTTGGCAGGTGAAGGCTTTTTTCCCGAGGCTCTTTTCCTGCCAGGCTGCACCAGCTGCTCCCCCGAGGTGAGCAGTGGCAGCTTTGGAGAGGGAGGGATGGAACAGGGCAAACCCTGGAACCACTCCTGGTTAACAGGGTTTTGGAAAATCCCTGATCCGCCAGCAGAGCAGAACTGAGGCAGCGGCAGACGCAGGAGGGCAAGAACACCTAGAGACAAAGTAACCAGAAAAGGCAAGAAGGTTAAAAAAAAAAGCCAATACAAACATTGTATTTGAAACTAAACTTTTTTGTTCTTTTTTAAAACTCTGGATACAGAGGGACTTCTGGCTGGAGAACTTCCTGAGCAGCAACCCTGCCCCTAGAAAATAACAACACCTAGAGACAAAGTAACCCGAAAAGACAAGAAGGTTAAAAAAAAAAAAAAGCCAATACATTATTGTATTTGAAACTAAACTTTTTTTTTTTTTCTTTTAAACTTGGATACAGAGGGACTTCCGGCTGGAGAACTTCCTGGGGAGCAACCCTGCCCCTAGAAAATAACAACACATAGAGACAAAGTAACCAGAAAAGGCAAGAAGGTTAAAAACAAAATCAAAAAACCAATACAAACATTGTATTTGAAACTAAACTTTTTTTTTGTTTCTTTTTTTAAAACTCTGGATACAGAGGGACCTCTGGCTGGAGAACTTCCTGGGGAGCAACTCTGCCCCTCTGCGAGGGAATGCCAGGGCAGCTCCAGCTGAAACCTGCACACAAACACCACAAATATTTTAGATATTTGCAGTAAGCCTCAACTTGGCAACTAGTGTTTAATAATTTTTCCACTTTCCCATTAAATGGCACATTCACTCCACAAGACTTGAACACCTTTCTGGTAGTTTTATTTACAGCCTGCAGCATGGTCTGTAAAACACAGGAGTGGTCACAAAACAGACACACAACATGGGTATTTTCAAACATTTAAATAAATACAGTTTATTCCAAAGTAAGTCTACACACTACTATTTTCATAAAAATATAAAAAATAGTTTAGTTACTGTATTTAACCTAAACCAAGATAACTTGAGAATTCTTCCACAAGTGATGCCCCCTCCCCAAAAGGGCACTCCAACAGTTAGAAATTCAGCATCACCAAATAAAATACTAACAGCAACTGCTTCAATCCACCAGAAAACCAAATAATTCCCACTCTGCATCCAGCAATCCCTGTTCTGCAGCGTGCTGGGATCTGCTTTTGTTGGGTTTGTGGGGTTTGCACTCACTTGGCAATCCTGCATTTCACACATTCCTTGGGAAATGCTTTCCTCTGAGACCTTTACTTCAAGGAGTCTCTTCTTTACTGAGCATCCAGTGGAGACAGTGCCCAGTTCTGTTTGTTATTATTTCTCTGCTTTTGCTGACCCTATTAGGGATGGGAATATTCTGATGGAGTTCTGCAGAACACCCACTCCAGCCCTTGTCTCGCTGGGGTACACTGAATTTACAAAAAAAAAAGGCACAAAGATGAAACTCCTAAAGCAGCAGCAGCCCCGGTTCACTGAGCTGCTGCTCTCCAACACCAACCCTGTGTCTCAGCAAACACCTCCAACAAGCAGCCAAGGACAGGGGGAGGGAAGAGCCCTGTGGGCAGGACAACACGACACTGCTCAGGGACAAATCAACACAGCTCAGCTGGCTGCTGCAGTTAAGACTCGAGCTGGAAGCATCAGGAGAAGCCACTGGAACACAAGCTCAGCATCACAGAACCCGTCTGTCACAGCCAGATGGGAGGCTCTGCGTGGGACACGTTGTGCATTCAGGTTCAACAATGCCAGAGCTCCACAGCAGCACTGAAAAACTTCTGCTTTTAACAGTTTAGAGGATTTTTCTCAATGGAAGTGAAACTGTCATTAACAGAGGAACAGCACATGATGCACAGCATAATCTACAACAAAAAGCTTTTGCTTTCCAGCATGTAAACATCCAGGTTACTGGACTTTAGCTCATATAAACAAATCTGATGATATATTTTTTCTTTTCAGGAACTAAAAAAGTATAATCTTCCATAAAAGGATAAACCACAAAAATACTCTCTCAGTAAGTCTCACGTGCCATTTAATACCTTCCATGTCCTATGAACAACTATGCAGAACACTTAGAAATGTGAGCAGTAGAAAAGCTGAAATGGAGCATTTGGCAGCCGTGTGCTCCAGCCCCTGGCAGGGCAGTGTCCCTTGCTCCACACCAGTCCTGCACCTCCCCAGCTATTTCTTCTTCTTCTTCTTCGGGGGCTCGTCCTCAGAGCTGCTGTCTGTGCTGCTGCTGCTGCTGCTGCTGCTGGAGGAGCTGGAATCCGACTCGAAGTCAGAGGAGGAGCTGCTGGAGGAGGGGGAGGAGGAGGAGGAGCTGCTGTCCTCACTGTCACTGTCTGAGGAGGAGGACGAGGAGGAGGAGGAGGTAGAGGAGTCCTCGCTGTCAGAGGAGGAGTCACTGGCTGAGCTGTCACTGCTGCTGCTGCTGGAGCTGGTCACACTCTTGGACCTGAGAGAGAACAAAGAGCTGAGCACAGCCCTGCCAGAACCCAACACCCTCAGAGCTCCCTCTGCTCTGTCACCATCATCCAAAGATCAATTATCTGCCTTGAAAATTCCCACACCTCATCAGCAAAATTTCCAGGCCTCACCACCTAAGATGAATCCCTGTGCCCTCCCTCCCTTCTCCCCTCCTGGATGAGTGGATTTTGGCCGTTTGAGCCATGGCAGAGTGGCCCCAGGACACGCCAGAACCCAGCAGGACAGCAGGGAGGGAAAGCTGGCCAGGATCTCCTTCCTCGCCCTGAGCAGGGGCTTGGCTGGCCTGGCTGCCCTCAACTCACCAGGCTCAGCCCCTGCCTCACCTCTGCAGCAGGGAAATTCTGCCACTGCAACAGCCAGGGGAGGTTTCAGCAGTGATTTCACCAAGGTCAGAGCTGTTCCCAGTAAAAAACTGTTCTTAGATTACTCCTGGCAAAAGAACCCAAAGTACCTGTCACTACAGGATGTTTTCCAGGTGGAGAAGGGTGGAAGCAATCCAAGATTAAGACAGAATGATGAACACAGCAGAGAGGATTTCTGTATGCTCTGCATTAGTTTTTCATGTTCAGCCCTTCCTGGGGCCACTGTTCTCAAGATCAATGTCTCTGATTTAGGGGGGTGATACAAATTCTAAGAAAGTACAATTCAATTCTCTCAGAGATCTTTCCCTGAAGTACAAGACACTGATTCACGTCCCTTCCCACCAAAGTCAATCAAAGAGCATCCAAAAATGTAAATTATGATAATGCAGACTCTTGTTCCCATTAGAAAATTAATGCAGTATTTATTATCAGAGGGTTTGGTTCAATGTAACAGCTCAGGAAGTGCCTGTGTTAAGGTTATTGAAGAGTGTGAGGTTTTTTCATCATATCAGCCCTGTTAGCTGACAAACGTGGGTGTGGATTCAGCCACAAAGCACTGAAGTTTTTACAATACATCTGTAATCTGCTGTCTCCATGTGCAGACACAACAACTGTTCATTACTGATAAATCCATAAGGGCTGCTTAAACACTGACTTTTCTGGAGAAAAAAACAGCACTAAGATGAGGAAAATAAAAAATATGGGAGTAGTACTTTCAGTCTGAGCAGTTCCATGAGATGGGCAGGAATGAGAGGATCCCCTGAGTAACTCTGAACTTGCTTTTCCTGATCACCTTTCACAGAATGCATAGCAGCAATCCATGGACATCCAGTGTTTAGGTTTATTCCAAAACTCACTCCCAGAAACATCAGGATACTACATTAAAGCAGCCTTTCCCAGAGGGAACAGGCAGGAGCTTGCTCTCAGGGAAGGCAACACGTGGCTGCTGGCACTGACAGCAGGAGGATGGAGATGGGACAGGTAAAACTCAAAATACAATTTAGGAGTGGGACAATAAACAGCCTGGAGGCTGCTAATCTAAGATTGTGGGGCTTATCACACCTCTGGGAAAGCACAGAATTTTTAAAGTAGGTATCATTCATCCTCCTCAGGACACGTTTCCAAGAGTTCATCTCTGGTTCTGTGCCCCTGTGTGGGCCAAGTGCTGTTGGAGCCCAGGCTGGCACGCCCAGGCTGGCACCCTGCTCTGCTCTGACACCCAACCCACAACTGTGGGCACAGCCACAGCTGGGACCTGAGGAGGGCAGGGAAGGGGGCAGGGAAGGGGGCAGGGAAAGGGGCAGGGAATTCAGGCATTCCAGGTGGGACACTGAAGCCAAGCAGCACCTGGAATTGGCTCTGTCACTGAGGTCACAGGGCTCTGCAGCAGCTGCTCTACCTCAGCCTGTTTTTCTGGTTGGGCCTGAGCTCCATTATTAGTGTTTATATCAAAACAAACACACTTTCTGGAAAAGGTTCCTGCTCCTCCTGCCAGAACCCAAACTTTTACAGCTTTATTTTAAATCTGGAACTTATAAATATGCCGGATTCTCCACATTTCATTCTTCCCATGTTGTAATAAAAATCTAAATAGCAAACTGACGGGAAAGGAATTTATATTGATGGATTGTTCTGGGCTTGCATAGAAGAAGGAGAATAACTCTAATTTACAAGAGTTTTACAACTTCATGGAAAAAGTGTCCAAACCACCCCCTCCCCATGAACCCTTTTGCTCTGTCCATTTTTGCACTGGTTTGGAGCTCAAATACTCTGTAAATAATTATGCCAGCAAAGGCTGCAGGGTCAGAGGAAGCTGAGGCAGGAAGAGGCCTGAGCTGCCCAGCTCAAAACCAGTTAATTCATGATCTCACCAGCCCAGCAATAAATTGGCACTTCTGGGAAAGCAGCCTTTGCTAGAACACACTGAGACAGCCCATTCCAATAAAGCACATTCCACCGAGCAGCCTGGCATAAAAACACTTTAAATATCTGCTCTGCCTTATTTACTGCCTGCCACACACAGCAAAGGCCTGGCCTTTAAACACCTCCTGAAAACTGGGTTAGATCAAACTGAGGGACACACAAGTGACACTAAAGGGGAAGAGATGCTGGGCTGTTACTGCACAAACATTCCCTGGTGTAAAACTCCCATTCCAGGAGTGTTACAGCCACAGTTCTGGCTGTTCCTCCTTTCCATCTGCTAAGAAAGCAAATTCCCAAGTAAACATTAATGCAAGGTAAAGTACAAACAATGTCAAAAGAGTTCCTGGCTCCAAACAGAGCCAGGAGAGGGCCAGGGTCATTTTCTGGCTTTTGCTTTAGTTTGACATCAGGGGGGGTTTGTTTGGTTTTGGGGTTGGGTTTTTTAAGATGTTTTATTTAATCCTTTAGACAAAACTTGAGAGAGAGAGAGAATTGGCAAAGGGAATGAAGAGAGTAGAAGACAGAGCAGGATGGGCAGGTGGAGCAATGAGAGACCAGAAACCCCTGTGCCAGTCTTGTTTCAGAGACTCCTGATGAACTCTGAGGCAGAAATGGGAAGACTTTTATTCCTACAGCAAGATCATGCAGGGGGCGGAAAATCAGCAGGGAGAAAAACAGAGAATAAAACTTTGAGAGATTTTGGACAGGGAGGAGTAGAAATTCTCCAGATGCCTGTCAGACAAAAGCTGTAACAGCCTCAAAGCAGTAAAACCAAAACTTCTGTACAAAGCTACTTTTGCCACCCCCCTTCCAAAGTCGTGCTGGAACAGCCAGTGCAGGAACCTGTCCCCACCAGTCCCCACATACCTTTTTTTCTTGGTTTTCTTTTCTGCAGCACTTTCTCCAGCACTAATTAAGGGGGAAAAAATAATGGCTTTGATTAATGCAACAGGAAAATTAAATAAATAGCAGCAGACTGAGGCTAAGTTTAATATTCAAAGGGCACTGGGCAGCTCAGTCCTGTGCAAAGCTGAGAAAACCCATCTATGAGCCAGGGGAGGAAAACCCAGCAATTCACCTCTAATTTTCTGTGCTATTTATGCTCTGCTCTCCCCTTTGTCTCATTTTGTATGGACAGCAGCAGCTGGAATGTGAAAAGCACAGGAGGAAAGGATACAAATAAGTTGTGTGAAACTATATTTAGCAATAAGTGAATTGATTGAAAACAAGGGTAAAAGCTTGACTTAGCCTGTAGCTTTCACATTTCTTTCAAGTGCCAATAGAAACAGAAAAGTCCATTTATATTGATGCTTTCCAGCTGTGTGTCTGTCAGATTCCCAAGTGTTCATCCCCTCACACAGTTTTAGTGGTGCCACAGAGGAAGGTTCTTTGTGTGTCACCAGAAAAGTGAGATTTCTCCATGTTTTTATTTTCAGACACAAGGTATGACAACATTACCAGCACAAGAGTTCTCCACTCTCCCCTGTGGGCAAGGGGAAGAGTCACTGATATTCAGATTCCAACTTTCCCAACCATATTTACATTCCTAAGGCCTCAGACCCTCTGCAGGGAACCAGGGGGTTCCCAGGTAAGAGGAGTCCCTGTGAGAACAGAATTCAACCCCAAACCTTTGAGGGGACAGGACCTAGCTCAGGGAGTGCCTCCCTCCTATGTGTGAGATGTGGGTTACTCAAGACTTACTCCAGGAGCTCCTAGTCTCAGGCCAGACCTGCTCTGGACACTCCCTCCATAATCTGAGCCAAAAACCCAGCTCAGGGCTGGGCTCAGAGCTCCAGCATCTCCAGGAATGAGCATTCCCTCAGCTCCCTGCCCTGCTCTAGGCTCAATCAGAATTGTGGGGCCAGCACGAGGCAAGCACGGGGAGCCTGGAACAACTGGGAAAGGAGTTCATGCTGGAAAAGCCTGGATGAGTTTGTCACAAGTAAATATTGACCTTTTTAGGCTGGGTTTGCCTGCTGGTTAATGATTCCTGCGTGGCAGACCTGTGGGAGACCCAACTTCTCCAAAAGCAAGGAGAACCTCCCAAAGCAAGTGACACAAAAAGCACAAGTGTGACCCAGGAAGTAGATTTTCCACAAAGAAAAAAGCTTCACCCTTGGAAGTGTAGCCCTGGCAGCTGAGGACCAGGATCCCTCCTGGCACAGCTGAGGAGCTGCTGATGACAGAACCCCAGGGAATGCAGCCCCATGGCCCAGATGAAGCACTGCTCCCACCTGGGGTTACTCAGGCTTCCTTTCACAAGAGGATTTTCCTCAGCACGTGCCTCTCACTGTTAGAGCCCCAAAGCTCCTTCTGTGCCAGACTGGCCAGTCCTGTAACTCCCACACAAAGTGATCCCACACTCAGATTCAAACCCAAGGACAGGACAAGGGATTTCACCCTCAATTCACCATCCTCCAGTGGTAACCTGCAGAATCCACCAGAAAAGGGGCAGAAAAGCAACAAGGAAATAATCTGAGCCTTAAACTCAAACTTAGCCTAAAAAACTTGAGTCTCTGAAGAGGCTCGGCCTCCAAATGGAGCCAAGTGTCAGAGTCCAAGCACTGCTGATCTGTCTACAACACTGGGTGACTCCAATTACATCCCAATTACTCTGTGGATCAGGAGTCATTTCCAAATCAATCACTTTACATCACTCTCCTCCCAAGCTAAGGAGTCCCTGCTGCAGGCAAGGTTTCGGCTGTGACTCAGAGCTGCTGGGCAGGCTGAGGAGCCCTGCCTGCCTGAGCTCCCTGTGCCACCTGCAGGAGCAGAGCTGGGAATGCTGTCCCCACCTCCCATCCGGCCGGGGATGAGGGACTGAGCCAAAGCCTCAGGAATTCCAGGTGCAAGGAGTGGCACTGGGAGTGACCCTGTCCCCCTGCAGCTCCCAAAACAAAACTGGAGTGGCAGCAAGGACCCTGACACATGGAATTGCATGGAGAACTGAGGCGCTGCATTAGTTTTGCTTGTTAAAACAATTATTAACCTGGGGGGAAGCATTAAAGTACTCCCAGGGCAAAGGGGAAAGGAAATCAGGTGCCACAGGCAGAGCTCTGTTTAGGTTTCTCTGCTCCTTCCACCTTCTGGGCTGTCACAAGAGGAAATAATTGTGCAATTCAGTGAGCTGTTTTCACTTTATGCTTGAGTTGAAGCTGATAACCCAACTCTCACTCAGCTGCCTGAGCCCTGCAGCTCCCAGGGAGCAGCAGCAGCAGGGCTGGGCCAGGTTTAACTGCAGCTCTGAGCTGCACATCTGGACACGGGGCAAGAATTGCTGCCTTGCTAGAAATAAATCTGCAGCTTTCACTGCCTGGACAGCACAACTCAACAACAAACAACTCAAACAACCAAGGAATTCAGGAAACTGCTTCACAACCAAAAAGCCTCCAACTGATTTAACTTTGGCTCAGTGCATGGCTTTGGTTTCAGACAGGCCAAAGCAGTTTTAAAGGTATTTCATATGAGCAGGTGTTGATGAAATTAAAATGCTGATTTTAATTCTCTGGGACCTGAGTGTACATATTTCACAAATCAGCACACAAATAAGCTCTAACATTAAATCAAGGACACATTCCACAGTCTCGAGGAAAAGATCACAGAAAATGGTCTGGGACAACATTTTTTATTTCAATCACAAACCAGACATTTCATCTTGCCAGTCTTACCTCTGCTGCAGCAGGAGTTGCTTTTCTTTCTCCTTAAGGATTTTGGCCAGCTGAGCTGTCCTTGAAGGCCTGTGCAGGTATTTTCTCTTCCCTTTACATTCATATGTCCAGTGGCCAAACTCTAAACACTTCTGACACCTCACATGCTGCTTGTTTGCCTCCCTAGAAAAATGCACAATTGCTTAAGTAACTCATTCCAGGTCTGTTCTACACAGTGAAAAAATACTTAAGTTTTTTATCATGCAGATTTAATCAGGTTATGATTAAACCAAATTTCACAGGTGCTTCAGGTTTTCTTTTGAATCAGGACATGGGCAGTAACACCAAGCAGACACAGAATTCAGGCAGACAGATCTTCATTTATTAAAACAATCTCAGTGCCCAGTTTGCTGCTATCCAACAGCTGCAGGTGGTTCTGGCTTCAGAGAAACACTGAAATTCTGGCTTAGAACAAAGAGCAGCAGCTTCATTTCCAGTCCCAAGTCCCAAACTGCCCAACTCTCAGAGCCCAGGACTCTCTGAGAGGCTCCCAGGAAATCCAAATAAGCTCCAGCCAGGAGCTGGAAAAGCCTGGCACAAGGTTTATCTTTGGGACAGCCAGACTCCTGCTCAGTCTGTGCAGAGTGACTCCAGGCATTCCCTCCCTGGCTGTCCCACCCCCAAACACCTGCAGCAGAAGGGACATTTCACTCCACTCCAGTTCCCAAGGGCATTTTTAGCAGTCATGGAAGGGAAAACACTCCTGTGTTCATGCTGAAGCTCTTAAGCTGTTCTTCTAAAGCTCTGCAAAGTTGTTTTGCCTCCTCTCCCAGCTGCTCTCCTCCTTTACAAAGAAGGGAACTCACCCAGACCAGGAGCTGCCCAAGGTCACAGCCAAAATTAGTCCTGAGCTCAGGGCTGTGCCACTTCAGTTCCCTGCCACCTTCAGTTTTTGTTCCAAGCACCAAAACATGAATTTTTCAAGGCAAACCTATCTAAACTCCCTGCAATTGCAGCCTGGCTGATCTAGAAGCTTCATCTCATGTGTGAGATGAAGTGACAGAGCAGCAGGGAGCATTTTCCCTCTCCCAGCCAGGCTGTGAACTGCTCCTCCCTCAGCTTCAGCCACTACTCTCTGTGCCAGCTCCTGCAGGGAATCTGGTGCTGAACATTCATCCCTTTTTCAGTGCAGAGCATTTGGATTCATCCTCAGGCCTCAGAAATGCTCAGCTAAAGGAGCACAAAAATCTGACTGAACTGCCAGGCTGAGGAGCACAACGAACCTGGCCTTGGGCAGGACCCAGAACAGCTGGGAATGGGCAGGGCCCAGCAGCTCAGGGGGCTTTGCTTTGCTTCAGCCTCAGCCCTCCCTCCTCCTCCTCAGCACAAACCCCAACCCTGCTTGTCCCTCAGCCCCTCCCCAAGCTGTGCCCACAGCACCAGCCCCAAACTGGGAGCTGCAGAACGCTCAGCCCCAGCTCCACGGACATCAAAGGGTGAGAGGTGAGGCACCAAAAAAGCCAAGCAAATCCACAGGGAACAGCAGCCCTGCTCAGCACTGCAGACCCACAAACAGCACAGCAGCACTAACGAGTCTGGCACTAATGAAGAGCACAGAACCGAGGGAAACTCTGAGCAGGGATCAGTGACCCCAGGGCTGGAGCAGAGAGCTCAGCACACACCCGGCAAGCACAAAGACATCAAAGCTAAACAAGGGTCCTCAACTCCAATAAAACAGCAACTCAAAAGAAAAAGTGTTCCAGGAGCACTTTGAACTCTCAAGTTACTTTCTGCTGGAAAACAGGAAAGAAATTATTCCTAAATCACAAAGAAATTGACCACATTCTGCACACTGTGATTGGGCAAAAAGCCCACAGCCCAAAAATTGAAACAAGAGAAATAAATTAATTTAATGGAAAAAAAAAAAAAAAAAAAAAAAAAAAAAAAAATTAATATAATGGAAAAAAAAAAAAAACAAAAACAAAAAAAACACACCCAAACCAACAAAGAGCTGAAAAACCAATGTCAGCACCCCACGGGAGCGGGATACCAAAAAAATAATAGGAACGGGGACAGGACAGGGACAGAAAAAGCAAAAATGTAATTTCCTCATTCCAGGGCTCTGCAATCAGAGCCCCTCGGTGCTGAGGGTATTCACTCCTCGATCGCAACACCCCCGTGAGAGCAAGAGCCACTCGCTTGGCTTTTGGCCTTTTTAACAGCTGCGCGAATTCATGCTAACAACGTGAAGCTGAAGGTTCTTGTTTCGTGCTTGAAGGGCTGGGTGTGCGCTGAGGAGCGGGGAAATGTCCCCGGGCGCTGCTCCCGAGCACCGGTCCCGCTCCCAGCGCTGCCCACGGCAGCAGCCGGGCCAGAACTCCCTCAGCCCTGATCCTCCGCGCCTCTGCACCTCCGCACCTCGCTCCCGCGGGACGCCCGGAGCAGAAAGGCGCTCGATTCCAAGCCCCGGCCCTGCACGGCCACCCGAGGCCGCCCTCGTTCCGCCCCAGCCGCGTTTTGGGGCGGTTTCGCCTCAGTCGAGCTGCGGCCCCTCCCGGGACACAGCGGAGGCCGCGGAGCGGCGGGAAAAGGCCGGGCAGCGCGGCCGCAGCAGTGCCCGCCGCTCCGCACCCCCGCCCCGCGCTGTCCCCCCGGTCCCACTCACGCCTGCCTGCGCGCGATCAGCCGGTGCATGGGCGTCGCCATCTTAGCGCCCGCGCCGGAAGTGAGGCTGCGCCGGGGAACGGCGGGACGGGGGCGGCCGGGGCCACGGAGAGCCAGGCCTCCGGGGTCATAGAGAGCCAGGCCTCCGGGGTCACAGAGAGCCAGTCCTCTTGGGTCACAGAGAGCCAGTCCTCCAGGGTCATAGAGAGCCAGGCCTCCAGGGCCACAGAGAGCCAGGCCTCCAGGGTCATAGAGAGCCAGGCCTCCGGGGTCATGGCCACAGAGAGCCAGTCCTCCAGGGTCACAGAGAGCCAGGCCTCCGGGGTCATAGAGAGCCAGGCCTCCAGGGTCACAGAGAGCCAGGCCTCCAGGGTCACGGAGAGCCAGGCCTCCAGGGTCACGGAGAGCCAGGCCTCCGGGGCCACAGAGAGCCAGGCCTCCGGGGCCACGGAGAGCCAGGCCTCCGGGGCCACGGAGAGCCAGGCCTCCGGGGCCACGGAGAGCCAGGCCTCCAGGGCCACAGAGAGCCAGGCCTCCAGGGCCACGGAGAGCCAGGCCTCCAGGGTCATAGAGAGCCAGGCCTCCAGGGTCATAGAGAGCCAGTCCTCCAGGGCCACAGAGAGCCAGGCCTCCGGGGTCACAGAGAGCCAGGCCTCCAGGGTCA